CGGCGAGTTCAATCCCGCTAATCCGAGCGCGCCACCCACCACTGATGAGCATATTTTTTTATCTTTTTTATTTACTCTTCTTGTCCCTCGAGTTAAGCAGTAAAGGGGAATTGCCAGCCCAGCCCTCTTCCCGCCCCGCCCCCACACCGCGCGGCTTGGGCGAGGGGAGGAGGGGTGTATGGTGTGCAGTTCGGGGTGGGGATGAGGGTTGCTGGTTGCCCCCCCCCCCTCTTCCCCCTAAGCGGCGTGCGGCGGTGTGTGAGTGGCCTTACTGCGCAGACTCCAGCCCGCTCCAGCCCTCTCTAGCCCTCTCCAGCCCGCTCCAGCTTGCAGCTAGCGCGTGGGCTCGACACCGCAGCAGCGGCTCTCACACCACCAACACCACCGATTCGTACACGTAGGCCTCCCCGGGGACGAGAGAAAAGCCAACAGATGATCCTGCGCTCTGGTTGTGCGTAACTCCTCCGTCGGGTCTATGATGAATCGTCCCCGTCATATCCACTATCAGATCGGTCTGGAAGTAGCAGCTGCTTATGCTCATACGGCGTGCGTGTGAGGGAAGGGAACTGAATCACATCCCGAGGGTGACGTTCGTGCGTGCGTGCGCGCGCGGGCTCTTTCCTGTTCCAATCGCTTAATGACTGCGTGTGACGGGAACACATATTTTCTTTTTTTGCGGTGTATTATGACGTGTTCGGGAAACAGAACAACTGGCGAGAAGAGGCGACAGATGTGACGTCACTATATGGCCGAGTGAGATAAACCAGATATACAGGTGGGCGCCTGTCGCCGATGGCTACCTCCCTGGCGCTTGGCGCTCGGCCGGTGTAGGTGAGCCGTGCGAGGTGAGCGACCACGTAACACTGACCGTTGTTATTGGCGATAGGGCGATCGCGTTATCGCCAGGAGATTATTTCGGCGGTCGGCTTTGCAGAGGCTTTCCGAGTCATCGCGACGGTTAACGACGCCCCTCCTCCTGCGGCGCCTTGTGAGCCTTGAGGCTTGATGAGCGGTCGCGGTCGGGCGTCCTGCTCTTCTCACCGGGCCGTGGCCCTCTGCTTCGATTCGCGAGAGATGACGATCGAAATAATTTAGATGTCAGCGTCAGCGGGAAACACTGGATAAGATGCCCCCGTTCAGACAGACGGGGAGGGCGGAAGAGTTAAATTGATGGAGCGGCGAGGGTGTATCGCCTTCCATCATCTAATAACAAGAGCGCGGAGAGAAGTAAAAGACGGACGGACGGACGGACTGACGGACGGGCGGACGGACGGGCGGACGGGCGGACGGACGGACGGACGGACGGACGGACGGGCGGGCGGACGGACGGACGGACGGACGGACGGACGGACGGACGGACGGACGGACGGACGGACGGACGGACGGACGGACGGGCGGGCGGACGGACGGTAGGGATGCAGGGTGGGTTCGCCCTCATATCGCCGGCCCATATCACCCCCAAACTGCCGTCAATGACCGACGGGCAGGGCGTGGCAGAAGAAGGGGGCGGTCAGGGGGGG